CTCTCTCTGTCAAATAAATAAATAAAATCATAAAAAAAAAAAAAAAGCACGTTGCAGGGTAGAATGTATGTAACATGACCCTATTTTAGCAATACCAGAAAAAAAAAAAATCCAAACACCTAAATGTACATTTGTGATTTGGAGTTCTATTCACTATGTTTCACCCATATTTGCCATCCTTCTATCTATCTTGCCAAGCTCATTCTCATTTTAGAATTTTTTTACTAGTACATCCTTTCCATCTGGAACTGAATGCTTTGGTCCCACCCCTCCCCCTAAGATTTTGCCATTGCTACCTCCTTCATGTGTTCTAACAAAATTCTATCTTTGCCATTTGCTCATGTCTCCTCTCTTTTCCTTTTTCATCACAGCACTTTTATAGTCTCTAAGCCCCTTGAATGCAGAATATTTATCTTATTCACCACAATATCGCCAGAACCCTGCACTGTGCTTGGCATATAGGAGTTAATAAATATTTGCTGTAGAACTCAGCAGTGATCACTCAATAAAGGAGCTAAAATTAGACAACCTTAACATTTCATATTTTCATAACCAAACACACATACTTCAAAATAACATGGTAAAAAAGACAAAGGGAAAATCTATCAGTTGGTCTATTTTCTATGTATGTATTTTTTTTTTTTTAAGATTTTTTTTTTATTTATTTTTCAGCGACAGAGGGAGAGCGAGCGAGCACAGGCAGACAGAGGCAGAGGGAGAAGCAGGCTCCCCGCCGAGCAAGGAGCCCGATGTGGGACTCGATCCCAGGATGCTGGGATCATGACCTGAGCCGAAGGCAGCCGCTTAACCAACTGAGCCACCCAGGCGTCCCTAGAGAAAGTATCTTTATGTATCTACATAGTTAGAGCTACCAGAGCATACAAATCTGTCCTACAAAAGAGAAGTCTTGAAATTTAAAGATAAATGAATAGATAAGAGATATACCTCTTTAGAAGTATGTGTTTATACTTCAGGGGGTATAAGACTATGGAGACATTCACGGATTGTAAATTCTAGCACCTGTCTGATCTCCCTACCTCTCCTCACATTCATTTACATTCCAAAGTGTAAGAAACAGGATCTTCCCCTCTATAACCACGGAGAATTTGTTCATATTGAAAGCAAAGGTCTCCCTTCCTCTTTCAGGAGGGAGCAAACAACTAACAAGCTCCCAGATTCATGTTCTTCAGGTTCCTTACCTACCAAATGAACATCCGGGTTTCACCGCATCACTGAGAGGGAAGAACTGGGGCAACGGGGTTATTACTTTAATAATTAATCCATCCCTGCCTGAGAAATTTTGTGTTTACTTTCAGGAAAACAAGAATACAACTTTTAAAAATTTATCATTCTATTATAAATTTGGCTCCTAAAATTTATCATTGTAATTCAAGCTTAAAGAAAAATAATTTTTTTAGGGGCACCTGGGTGGTTCAGTCATTAAGCATCTGCCTTCGGCTCAGGTCATGATCCCAGGGTCCTGGGATTGAGCCCCACATCAGGATCCCTGATCGGTGGGAAGCCTGTTTCTCCCTCTCCCACTACCTCTGCTTATGTTCCCTCTCCCACTGTGTCTCTGTCAAATAAATAAATAAAATATTAAAAAAAAAAAAAGAATAACAATTTTTAAAAAATAAATTTTCAGGACAAGAATACATTAAGTCCCCAGCTTGGAAACTCAAATTTCCATCCTAAGCTTTTCCACTGAAAACATACTATAGAGGTGCCTGGGTGACTCAGGCGGTTAAGCAGCCAATACTCAAATTTGGCCCAGGTCATGATCACTGGCCTCCGAGATCAGCAGGGAGTCTCTTCTCTCCCTCTACTTCTGCCCCCTCCCTGCTTGCATGCTCCCTCACTCTCCCCCCCTTCTCCAAAATAATTAAAATAAAATCTTAAAAAAAAAAAAAAATACTATACTTAGGGGTGCCTGGGTGGCATAGTTAAGTGTTGGACTCTTGGTTTCAGCTCAGGTCACTGGGTGTGGAGCCTGCTTGGGATCCTCCCTCTTCCCCCCCACAACCCGGCCCATCCTCTCTGTCCCACCCCCAAGCATATACTCTCTCCCTCTAATAAATAAATCTTAAAAAAAAAAAAAAAAAAAAAAGACATGCACACTATCCTTTAAACGTTTTTTTAAAGATTTTTTTTTTAATTTATTCATTTGAGAGACAGAGACAGAGAGAGCACAAGCATGGGGAGAGGCAGAAGCAGACTTCCTGCTGAGCTGGGAGCCGGATGTGGCACTCGATCCCAGAACCTGGAGATCATGACCGAAGCCCAAGGCAGACGCTTAACTGACTAAGCCACCAAGGCGCCCTAAAAACATACTATACTTAAGTAATGAATTTAATGAAGTGTATGAACTACTGAAAAATTTGCATGCTAGGTTCAATCACATTATGGACTAGTCTTCTGAAGACTAGTCTAAGGACCTAACGACTAATCACAACACTGTTCCTACATACATATTCTTTTAATAGTGCCTAGCAAATAGAGGCTTCCTAAAGTGCCATTTTTTTTAAAAGATTTTATTTATTTATTTGACAGATAGAGATCACAAGTAGGCAGAGAGGCAGGCAGAGAGAGAGAGAGAGAGAGAGAGAGAAGGAAGGAGGCTCCCCACTGAGCAGAGAGCCCGACACGGGGCTAAATCCCAGGACCCTGAGAACATGACCTGAGCTGAAGGCAGAGGCTTTAACCCACTGAGCCACCCAGATGCCCCTGCCATTTTTTTTTAAATCCCACCCCTAATCTACAATCCTTTAATTGGTCAAGGGGAATGTAAAAAATCATGGTCAAGTCTATTAGAGATTATATGTGGCAAAGAACAGGTTTCTGAAAAACTAAAAACAATAAAAATAATAAAACATTCAATTCTTTGAGACCCCCAAGACCCTCAACTCCCTTGAATAAGCCATACATTTGCTCCTGAGACCATTCTCTAGCTCCCCCAGAAGGAAAAATGGACAGACTAAATCATAAATTCCTCAAGAATAAGGACAGAGAACTCTGTATTTTAGGTATGTCTTTATTTTATGGTACAACAAACAAAACACCCAGAAAGTACAGTAAATGATTTTTTTGAACTGAATCAGCTTGCATATGCATCATAATACTGGCTGCTACTGGTTATGGACCTACATTCAAATTTTTCAAGGTTTTGTTTTTTTGTTTTTTTTTAAATCTGCAAAGTGACAGAAATGTTCAGGGTCATTGGCAAAGTTGAATGAGATGTTCATATAAAGTGCCTGGCATATTTCATGAATGATGGTCATAAAACAAAGAGGGCATCATTTCCTTGATTTATTTCAATAAATTAAGAATTCTTATTTCTCAGCCCCCAGCCACCCAAAATATAAAAGATCAGGGAGAAAAACTACTTAGCCACTCCCTAACGTACTAAAAATATTACATTAATCACTTTTTTAAAAGATTAAATTACTTTAGAAAAAAACATAAAAATGTTTGGTTATGTGCTTCATGTGATTAAAAAAAAAAAAAAAAAAAAAATCAAACAGCAGGCCAATTAATCCAAGACTACTCTTTAAGGCCTTTTCAGTAACAAAAAAATGCCAGAAAGAGATTTGTCAGTTGCCTACTGCTAGTAAACTGTATGGGCTGAATATTAAGTGTAGCTCCTGGAAGCTTAAAAGAAAAAGAGAAATACTAAATAGAGACATTGCTGGCCCAGACTTTATTACAAACTTGTAGAATCTTTAAAAAAGGGACATAAAGTAACATAAAGAAGCTCATCCTGAACCACAGTTTTGCAGAACATTCAAAGACATTCAGATGTCTCTTGGATTATCCCTCCCTCTTCGAACACAATCTTTGAGGGACTAAGATAATATAGGCCTGGTACACCTGAGTCTGATCATTAAGTGTATAGGACGAGGGGTGCCTGGGTGGCTCTGTCAGTTAAGTGTCTGCCTTTCAGCTCAGGTCATGATCTTGGGGTCCTGGGATGATTCCTGCATCCGGCTCCCTGCTCAGTGTGAAGTCTGCTTGTCTCCCTCTCTCTGCCCCACCCCCGCTCATGCTCTCGCACTCTCTAATAATAAAATCTTTTAAAAAAAGAAAAAAAAAGATCTTACATGGCCTTTATTTATCGTCTGATCAGAGTCCCAATACATCAAAGTCTTAACTGAGACCCTAGTACGTGCTGGGTCACAGTGAACTCGTAACATAATTCTCAGTAAAAGCTTCACATGTACATTTTCTGTAGTTTACTGAAAGAAAAATTCATATTAAATAGAAACTGTGCAGCCAAAAAGGCTGGCCCTGTGTTGTAAAATTTTAGGAGTCTAAACTGTATTCTTACCAAAGTATAGCTGTAACAAAGCAACCACAAGGGAGCTTCCAGACCGGATAATACACTTTACCCAAAAAAGGAGGCTTTAAATATAAATTATTTTGAGCTAAAACTTCAAAGTTCTGTGCCAAAGAATGTTCACCAGTTGCTTTAATCATAAAAACTGCCTGGTGTACAGAATATTTTAAATAGAATTAAAGACTAATATGAGTAAGTTAAAAATTACAGCTCCCCCACCAAAGGAGAAAGAGTTTACGTAAATGGAGTTGTTTAGAAAGGTCCATTTGCACTTTGAAAAATGATTGCTGTATCAATTTCCTACAACTCGAACAAATTACCATACTCTCTTACTTCTGGAGGCCCAAAGTACCACTGGGCCGAAATTAAAGTGCTGGCAGGGCTGTGCTTCTTCCAGAGGTTTTATTGGAAATTCTGTTGTTTCTTCCAGCTGGCATTCCTTCCCTTGTGGCCACATTGCCTCCTCTTCTGTATAAGTAATCTCCCTCTGCTTCACTCAAAAGATACAGAATGACATTTAGAGCCCACCCAGATAATCCGGGATAATCTCTTCATAACAAGACCTTTAATTTAATGACATTTGCAAAGACTTCCTCACACACACAATCCAGCCCCAAACAAAGTAACATTACAGATTGCAAGGATTAGAATGTGGACATTTTGGAAGAGCCCATTTTTCAGCCTACCAAACTTGCCAAAGCAAGCTTAAATGTATAACCAATTCCTTGCAGCCAACACTTATGTCTTTATCCTGCACATGATTTGTTTCCTTCGTTTTTCAAATTGTAAAATATCTATCAGAAAATACAATAACTTTAAATTAGATTATCCCATCTTCCCATGAAGCATTTTTCCTCATTTGAGATTTGCTTCCCTAAGCACTACGAAACAAAACTAAGAAACTCTTTATTTTTAAACAAGAAATATATCTTTTTCTTTCATGGTTATTGTCCTTTCTGAACATAAAGTAAATACACATCATTTCAAATTAGCTCTCTCAATCTTTAGCATTTTTCTTTTCCTCTTTATACAACATGTGAATGAGCAAACTATTTGTTCCTTAATTAAAACACTGCTTGCTTACAGGATACAGGTGTTCAATTTTAGAAACTGTATTCAAGACTAGGCAAACCAGGGAGCAATAATAAATTCTGACTAAGCAATCCAACTGCCATCGTAACATTGCCTGCAGTAAGTATCACCTCATAAAAACCACTTGCAGCAGTTTAATCTAAAACTACAGCTGTAAAACAGACATTAATTTTTGTAAGCTTCTAGAGTAAAGACACAAAGGCAGTATTCTTTATTGAAAAAAATACCACTGTACTAAACATCTGGAATACTCATCAAAATTACTTTGGTAACCTAACAGCATCTTTATTTAAAAAGGTAATATAGGGTCGCCTGTGTCGCTCAGTGGGTTAAGCCTCTGCCTTTGGCACAGGTCATGGTCTCATGGTCTCAGGGTCCTGGGATTGAGGCCCGGCTCTCTGCTCAGCAGGGAGCCTGCTTCCCCCTCTCTCTCTGCCTGCCTCTCTGGCTACTTGTGATCTCTCTGTCAAATAAATAAATAAAATCTTTTTTAAAAAAATAAATAAATACATGAAAAATAAAAAGGCAATATAACCAATTCCTAATTGGATTATATTTTTTACATATTGCAGAGCAGAGCAGGAAACTTTCAAAGATGATTTACCAAATCTTCATTACCCAATCTTAAGTTTTCAAGCACTGGTAACAAGGTTTTCTAGTCTTATATAACAGATTTATTGTCACAGGGAAAGTAATTGTTTGAAGAATTTTTAAAGCACCAATTAAAATGCAGATCTAGATAAATTAGTGTGATCTGTGCCCTCCTACCATACTTATCACCCATCACTATCTCATTTCCTCTAACACTACTTCATTTTCCTGAACCTCCACCGTCCCCCCACAACAGTTTGTTAATGACCCAATTCAGTCTCTCCTACCAAGGTCTAATATTGGTCAACACCAGTTGAAGCAGCAGCAGCCACCTTGTTTTCCTTCCGCTCCCTCTGCCTATTCGTATTAGAAGCTAGCTAACAGACCCATAAAGAAAAACAGCTGAGTTCAGCAATTCAGGAAACATTTACTGAGAACTACCATGTGATAGGAAAAGTGACCCTCCAAGTGCTCATTGACTAGTGGGTTCTGAACATGCTTTCAATACCATTTGGTAAATGCTACAAGAGTACCAAAAACCAAAACAAAACAAACAACAATAGTCAAATGGAAAACCAGAAAGGTTTCCCAGAGAAAGAGATTCTTCCTTTAAAGAAGAGACTTTTTAAGGTCAAGTGGAAGTTAACCAAATGAGGAAAGAGAAGCAGTCCAGAAGGATCATCATAATAAGCAAAGGCACAACTCAGTATGATGTGCTGGGGAACTCTAACTAGATCACTATTAAATGAGAAAAAAAAAAAAAAGAGACAGGCAGGGAGTGAAGCTGAAGAATTAAACTGGACCAGATCAGGGAAGCCTAAAAGCCATGCAAAGGTCTCAGGAAAAATCTACAATTCAATGACAAGGTGAGATTTGCTTCTGAGACAGACCAACTCTGGTAACAGTGGAGGATGGACTTGCAGGAGGCAAGAATACCAGTTAAATGGCTTGTGCAATATTTCAAATAAGAAATGAATACAATGAGTCTGTTAATACTAAGGGTGAATTAGGGGCAGCAGAGCTGCAAAATACGTAAGAGGCAAAATACTTGGGGTATAGGAAAAGAGAAAGAAAGGAGAAGAAAGCCATAAACTCCCAAGGTTGTGGCTGTTAAGATTTTGATACTTAAAAAATAAAAAAAAAAAAGTGAGAAACCAAAAAGGAAATGGTATTTTTGCCACTTCTATTCAACATATTATACTGAAAGTCTACCCACATCAATTAGGCATCCACACTAGAAAAGAAAAAGTATCTGTTTACATATGATATGATTTTATAGCTAGGGAACCCTACAGACTCCACAAAAGAAGTTAAAAACTAAACTGATTAAATGAATTGAGCAAAATTGCAGAGGGGGAAAGTCAACATACAAAAAACAATTGCATTTCTATATACTAACAATAAACATTCTAAAAAGGACATCAAGAAAAAAATTCCATTTGCAAAAGTATCAAAAAGAATACTAGGAATAAACTTAACTAAAGCAAAGATTTGTACACCAAAAATTATAAAACACTGTTGAAAGACATTAAGTAAATGTAAAGATATCCCATCCTATTTCTATGGATCAGAAGACTTAATATTGTTAAGATGACAATAATACCCAAAGCAATCTACAGATTCAACACAATTCCTATCAAAATCCTGATGGTTTTTGCAGAATCCTAATATTCACATAGAAAATCAAGGAGGGGCACCTGGGTGGCTCAGTGGGTTAAGCATCTGCCTTCAGCTCAAGTCCTGATCTCCACATCCTGGGATTCAGGCTCCCTGCCAGCAAGGCAATCCACAAAATGGGAGAAAAATTCACAAATCATGTATCTGATAAATGATTAATATCTGGAATATATGAAGAATTACTAAAACAACAAAACAACTCAATTAAAACAATGGGAAAAAGACCTGAATAGACACATTTCTCCAGAGAAGATAAACAGATGGCCAACAAGTACATGAAGAAATGTTCAATATCACTAATCATTAGAAAGATGCAAATCAAAACCACAAAATATCACACTTTATACCCATTAGGATGGCTACATGACTAGTATAAAAAAAAAAAACAAAAAAAAAAAAACAGAAAACTGCAAGTATTCATGAAGATGTAGCAAAAGTCAAACCCTAGTGTGCTGCTTTTGGAAATATAAAATGATATAGCCAGTTTTGAAAAAAGTACGGCAAGTCCCTCAAGAAACGAAATACAGAATTACCATATGATCCAGCGATTCCAATTCTAGGTATGTACCTGAGAGACAAAAATCAAAGTATGCAATCTTGCCAGGGCTGAAATAAAGTACCTACTTCACAGAATCCTGTGAAGAACATATGATAGCTATTATTGTTGTAATAAAAATGAGACAACACAGCCTATCCTATTCAACCTACATTTCTAACAACAAAGACAAAAACTGCATATTGCTCCTGAAGGGTAATAAATAATAATCATAACTTACTATAAAGAAACTAATTTACACTGTGGGATAAAATATGATATCAATTTAAGATAAACTAAAATATTGCATTTATAAATTTTTAATGGCCTTGTCACGTCTCCAACTGCGGTACACTGAATGGGCCCCCCAAAGTGTCCACATCTTAATGCCCAGAATTTGTGACTATGTCACCTTACGTGACAAAAAGGACTGTGCCAGTGTGATTAAATTAAGAATTTTTGAGATGGGGAGATTATCCTAGATTATGTGAGTTTGGGCCAATATAATCAGAAGAGTCCTTACAAGAGAGAAGGCGACATGATGAAGGAGACAGAGATAATAGAGTGAACATCTAAGATGCCATGCTTCTGGTATGCAGAGCAAGGACCCATGAGCTAAGAGGGTGTCAGCAGCCTCTAGAAGCTAGAAAAGGAAAAGGTATGAATTCTCCCCTAGAGCTTCCAGAAAAAATGCAGACCTGCCAACATCTTGATTTTAATCCCTTATGACCCATTTTGGACTTCTGACTGTCAGAACTGTAAGCAACAGGAAACTAATATATCAGCTGAACCCAGATTATCATGAGAAAGTCAATGGCAGAGTGAAAGAAATTGAAAAAATATGTACAACAGTTTACATGCCCAGTGGAGTACCGGCTTCTGCCAAAAGAAAATTCAACACATCCACAGGAAAAATGGTCTTCCTCTAGAGTAAGTAGTTCTCAAATTTGGCTGCATACAGGTGTCACC